TTTCGGCGGCGGAGGAGCAGGAGGCGGAGGTCGGAGAGGGTGGCGGCGGAGGAGCGGAGGGCGGCGGAGGGAAGCGCAAGGACCGTCGGGAGGACCCCGAGGGAGAGGGGTGGGGCCAGAAGTGGAGCAGAGCTTGGTGGAGCTGGCGGAGGGGGATGGAGCAGAGCAGGGCCCACTGGAGAGGGGGAGGAAGGAGTGGAGGAGGCGGTAGAGCCGTAGAGGAGGAGGAGGGAGAGGGCGAGGCAGGCGTGGGCCATGGCGATGTGGAGGGCGAGCTTGGCGTCGGGGTCTAGGGCCAGGGTCTTGGATGGCTTCTGAAGGGGAGGGGGGTTAGGGTTAGGGTTAGGGTTAGGAGGAGGGGAGGAGGGCGGGTAGACGGGAGGGAGTCGGGGGGTTGACGGCGGGAGGCGGAGCGGAACATCTCGGACCAGGGGAGGTTAGGAGTTTTAGGGTCTGAGGTTGAAGAGGAGTAGGGTACGAGGTCCATGGCCATGGCCTTTGAGACTGTCGACGGGGTTGGGGAAGAGGAGGAAGAAGACGATGATGTATACGTTTTGTTTTAGGTGGTGGGAGTGAGCTGGATTTTGTAATAATACTTCACTTTTTAATTTTAATGAGATTTTAAAAGTAATTATGATTTCATTTGTTACTTGTTTTGGGTTTTTAAGCGTATATCTAAATCTAAATCTAAATCTAAACTACTTATAAAAGAGAATACTCATGTCAAAACTTTTGATTTTTCTTTTTACCCTCTCAATTTTTTATCTCTCACACTTATATCATTATTTATAAAACTAATGATCTATAACCTCTCATTAACTATGCACATTTTTATTTTCTTAAATTATTTAGTCATTCACTAGAATATATTAACAATTTATAACGATAACAAAATTCGTAAATATATAATAATTTATTATACATAATTATTAATTATATAAAATAGGAAAAGTACTTCATTTAGTAAATTAGTGCACATAATTATAATCTATACTACTTATAAAAGAGAATACTCATATCAAAACTTTTGGTTTCCTTTTTTGCCCTCTCAAAATTTTTATAACTCACAATTATATCATTATGTATAAAGCTAATGATCCATAACCTCTCATTAACTATGCACCTCTTTATTTACTTAAATTATTTCGTCATTCATTAGAATATATTAATAATTTATAATGATAATAAAATTCATAAATATATGATAATTTATTATAAATAATAATTAATTATATAACAAATAAAAAATTCTATTTAATATATTATTGTACATAATTATAATTACTAATTATAGTATAAATAGGGTTATATCTTTTTGTTGTAAAAAATATTACCTTGTTTTGATAATTAATATCATCTTAGTAATAAAAATTTGGATATTAATTATAAATTTAAAATATTTTTATGTTGGAAAATTAATTTATATAAAAATATTTGGAACCTTGAAATTTATGAGACATATACTTTCCTCTTCTTTTCCCTAAAAATATTTGGTCATTCACTAGAATATATTAATAATTTATAATGATAATAAAATAAATAAATATATTATAGTTCATTATAAAGAATTATTAATTATAATGAAATAGTAAAATAATTTATTTAATAAATTATTGTACATAATTATAGCTATTAATAATAGTACAAATAAGGATTGATTCTTTATATTGTAAGCAGTATAACCTTTTTCAACATTATAATATCATCTTCATAATAAAAATTAGACGTTATAAATTAAAAATACTTTTATTTAGGAAAATTATTTTATATAAAAATATTATATCCTTAGAATTTATGAGACATGCACTTTTTGTTGGAAAGTAAATATCTCATAAATTTCAAGGATCCAATAGATATAAAGAATAAATAATATTCATCAAATTGTAATTTTTATATCTTAGCTTAAAATTTGTAAAGAATTATTTTGGAAATAATTGCAAATGATAGTGATATAGGTGAGTAGGTGCCAACCTAGTTGGGATGTACTTATCTATTGTGATGCGATGAATTTCAAAATAAATTTATACTTGTAATTTATAAATAATTTATTAATTATTAATAAAGAATTTATTTTTATAATTTTTTATTTGTAATTTATGTCATTTTAAGTGATTAATAAAATTATTGTTTTTTATTAAATTTTTTATCTTTTTTTTGTATAATTTAAAATTTAAATAGAATTTAAAAAAAAAGAAAATAAACCGGTCGGGCCCGAAACTCGGCCCGGGCCCGGGCTCCGATTTTGCCCGGCCCGGGCCCGGATCCGGCCCGGCCCGGATGGACACACCTATGTTCCGATAATTAATATCATCTTAGTAATAAAAATTTGGATGTTATAAATTAAAAATATTTTTATGTTGGAAAATTAATTTATGTAAAAATATTTGTGATCCTTGAAATTTATGAGACATATACTTTCCTTTTCTTTTTCCGAGAAATATTTGGTCATTCACTAGAATATATTAATAATTTGTAATAATAATAAAATCAATAAATATATTACAATTCATCATAAAGAATTATTAATTATAATGAAATTATAAAATTATTTATTTAATTAATTATTGTATATAAATATAACTATTAATAATAGTACAAATAAGGATTGGTTCTTTATATTGTAAGCAATATAACCTTTTTCAACATTATAATATCATCTTCGTAATAAAAATTAGACGTTATAAATTAAAAATAATTTTATTTAGAAAAATTATTTTTTTATAAAAATATTATCCTTAGAATTTATGAGACATGCACTTTTTTTGGAAAGTAAATGTCTCATAAATTTCAAGAATCCAATAATTTTATATAAAGTATTTTTCCTAAATAATAGTATTTTTAATTTATACCATCCAATTTTTTATTGCTAAGATAAGATTATATTAATTATCAAACAATGTAATATTATTTATAACATAAAGTCATATAATATTAAAATTTATTTCCACTATTTAATAGATAATGTAATAATATATGTATATTAAATAAATATTTAATAATATAAATGGTTTAATTATTTCGATAGTGTTACTTTTTTGTCTCTATTTCAATAGTGTTGCTTAAACTAATAATTGCATTATTATTTAATAATTATACTCTTAAATAAATTGTTTAATAACATAAGCAAATTTAAATAACTATTAAATGTATGTTAATAATAGTATAAATACTAATAATAGAATAACTTAATTTTTTTAACCATAGCGTAATAAAATAACTTTGTAAAATGTATATATAATTTATTATACAATATAATATTAAATACAAAAAATGTCCACGTGCATTATATTAGTTATTAATAATAGTATAAATAAGAGTTACTTCTTTATGTTGCAAAGAATATTGTCTTGTTCGATAAATAATATCATCTTAGTAATAAAAAAATAGATGTTATAAATTAAAAATATTTTTATTTTAGAAAATTAATTTATATGAAAATATTAAGATCCATGAAATTTGTGAGACATATACTTTTCTCTTCTTTTTCCCAAAATATTTGGTCACTTGCTAGAACATATTAATAATTTATAATGATAATAAAGCTAATAAATATAATATAGTTCATTATAAAAGAATTATTAATTATAATAAAATATTAAAATTATTTATTTAATAAAATATTGTACATAATTATAGTTATTAATAATAGCATAAATAGGGGATGATTCTTTATATTGTAAGGAATATCACCCTTTTCGATATTATAATATCATATTAATAATAAAAATTGGACATTATGAATTAAAAATACTTTTATTTAGAAAAGTTACTTTATATAAAAATATTAGATTTTGAAATCTATGAGTCGTTCACTTTTTTGTTGGAAAGTAAATGTTTCATAAATTTTAAGGGTTCAATATTTTTATATAAAGTATTTTTCCTAAATAATAATATTTTTAATTTATTCCATCTAATTTTTTATTACTAAAATGATATTAATTATCGAGTAAGGTAATATTATTTACAACATAAAGTCATATAATATTAAAAACTACTACCATTATTTAATAAATATTGTAATAAAATGGAAAATTTGCTTCTAGGCCCCAAATTTATATTTTCAATATGCTCTAGCCCCTCCTACTTTTTTTAATGTTCTTTAGCCCCTCCTTTGTGAAAAAAATATGGCCAAGCCCCTCCATCATGATTCCAGCTCATTTCAGCACTTGATTAATAGACATGCCAGCTCATGATTAGACATATCAGCTGATTTAAATCCCGAATTTACCCTCCTCTTTCTTATGTCAATGGATGTTAACTCTTTTCTGTAAAATGTTAACTCTTTTCTGTAACATGTTAACTCTTTTCGGTAATATTTAACTCTTTTCTATAAAATGTTAACTCTTTTCTGTAACATGTTAACTCTTTTCTGTAAAATGTTAACTTTTTTCTGTAACATGTTAACTCTTACAGATAACATGTTAATTCTTACAGGTAACATGTTAACTCTTACAGCTAACATGTTAACTCTAACAGCTCACATGTTAACTCTTACAGCTAACATGTTAGCTGTAAGAGTTAACATGTTACAGAAAAGAGTTAACAGTAACAGTTAATAGAAAAGAGTTAACATGAAAAGAGTTAACATGTTACAGAAAAAGAGTTAACATTAATGTGCCCACGCGAAGTTCCTCGGGACGCGCTGGCGGCTGAGCGGGGAAGGGGCAAAGGGGAACCGAAGGAGGAGGAGGGAGGTGCATCGAGGGAGGGAGACGGGGGGGAGGCGAGGGAGGTGCAGCGTGGGCGAGGGAGGCAGTAGAGAGGATGAGGGAGCTGTAGGGGAGGCGGGGGGAGGTGTAGGGGGAGGGAGGCGGGGGGGAAAGGAGTATAGGGGGAGGGGAGGGAGGCGGGGCGGAGGCAGAGGGGGACGGAGGAGGAGGAGGAGGGTGTGGTAGGGAGGGTAAAATGGGATTATGTATAAAGTTTGCATAGGAACTTGGGGAGAGCGGGTTTTTAATAATTTTTTTCAAAAGGTGGGGCTGCCGCACATGTTTGAAAGTTGGGGGGCTAGAGCATATTGAAAATATAAATTTGGGGCTTTGAAGCAATTTTTCCTAATAAAAATATATCCATAACATAAATATTTAATAATATAAACGGTTTAATTACATCAATAGTTGTTACTTAAACTAATGATTACATATTTTAATAATTATACTCTAATAAATTGTTTAATAATTAATAACAAGATTTAAATAACTATTAAATGTATGTTAATAATATTATAATATTAATTATTGTATAACTAATTTTTTTATCATAGTACAATATAATAACTTTGTAAAATATTTATATATAATTTATTAAATAATATAATATTAAATACAAAAACGTGTCCACGTGCTTTGCACGGTGATTAGTAGTATATATATACACGTCTATGATATTGAAGAGGGTAGGCCTGTCCATCCGGGCGGGCAAAACCGGGACCCGGACGCCGGGTCCGGGCCGGGTTCCGGGCTGGCCCGGGTGATTTTCCTTTTTTTTTATTTTTTTTTATTTTTTTCCAAAATTTTTTAATGTTATTTAACTTATAAATTATAAAAAAAAGACAAGAAAAATAACAAAAACAATAATTTTATTAATTACTTAAAATGACATAAATTACAAATAAGAAATGATAAAAACATATTCTTTATTAATAATTGATAAATCAGTTACAAATTACAAGTACAAATTTATTTTGGAATTAATCGCATCACAATAGATAAGTAAATCCCAACTAGGTTGGCACCTACTCACCTATATCACTATCATTTGCAATTATTTCCAAAATAATTCTTTACAAATTGTAAGCTAAGATATAAAAACTACAATCTATTCTTTATATCTATCTGCTAGTCCCAATTCTTCAAATTTATCTTCAATTCCAGCCATCCGATCGATGCCTTGCGTTCGCTTCTCGTACCTCCACCAATCTTGTAGGCACATCACCGCTTGTACAGTATATGGATCCAAGCATGTCCTGTGATCGTCGATCAAACGACCTGCTGTGCTGAAGGCGGATTCCGAAGCTACCGTCGAAACCTGCACTGTTAGTAAGTCACGAACCATGGTGGAAAGTATAGGATATGAAACTGATCCATATACTTTCCACCATTGCAAAATATCTAAAGCATTTCCTTGACATCTAACTAAAGAAGCAGAAAAATATTCATCTATTTCAGAAACCTCCGATGATGACGATCCAAGTCCAGATCCACCAGTTAGCTCGGCTACCATTGCATACCTATCAAAACTTACACTTTTACCTCGGGCTCGGGATGAGCTCGAAGAAACCGAAGCTGCAGACTGTTGTGCAGCTACACCATGTCTAGCTGCATACTCATCATATAAAGTTTGAAAATAATTTCTAATAAGTAAATGATGAGTAGTAGCATTCAGGGTGGTTCCATCATCTAAGTCTATAACCTGTCCACCATACAATGACTGTAACAAACTTCGAAGGCCAATATCCTTCAAGCATGGATCAATAAGAACCCCCAAACCAAAAATATGAGGAATAGGCCTAAAATACTTATTAAATTTGCTCTCCATTTCAAAAACCATAGGTCCAAAAGTAGCATCCAAACGATATTTATCAAAAAAATTTTGAATATTTAAAATTTGTAAAGCAGCTAAAGTAATGGTTGGATAATAACAGCCAGATAATAACATGGTAGCATCATAAAAAACTTGTAACATTTCATTTAAATTACATATAACTGTCCATTCATCTTCAGTTATTCCATAAGTGCTACCAGAACTAGAACTAGAAGCATAATAGTTTATAAAATCAGTTATAATGTCTTTATATTCTATTGCTATACTTAACATTGCATATGTGGAATTCCACCTATGGTCAACATCTTTTGGAATTAGTCTAGGCTTTACATTTTTTCTTTTACAAAATTGTTTCCATCTTTTAAGTTTTTGTTCAGAAGCACTATGCATGTAAGCAACTGTTCTAACCTTTTCTATCATGGGTTTAATTTCAGTAAATGCACTTTGAACAATTAAATTTAAAATATGACAGATGCACCTAATATGAAAAAGATCACCATGACATGGCAATGATAAAGATGATCTGATAAAATCAACAGCTACATTGTTATTACTTACATTATCTAGTGAAAGAGAAAATATTCTTTGTGAAATTTCTAATTTCATAAGTTCTTCAATTATTAAATTTGCAACATTAGCACTAGTATGTGACTCTTCTATTGCAATAAAAGAAACAACTCTTTTAAACATTTGTCAATTTTCATCAATCCAGTGTGCTGTGATACATAAATATCCAGTTTGTGCTCTAGATGTCCAAATATCAGAAGTTAAAGAAAATTTACAGTTTAAATTTTTAAAATAAGAAATTATTTTTTCTTGTTCTTGCTGATAATATTTTAAAATATCACTTGACAGGTTTGACAAGAAATTTTTTTTAAATGCAGGATAAAAACCATCTCTAAACATATCTTCAAATTCATCATCTTCTACTAATTTAAAAGGAAGGTTTTTAAGAATGATAAACTTGATTACGCATTTCCTGGCTCTGGCAGCATCATAGTTCCAACTACTGAGACTACCAGAAGAGGAGGATTGAGAAATCATAGATTATCGGATATCACCTTGAGGAGTCTGGCATTTGTTGTGTTTATCTAAACGACGTTTGAGGTGGTTGGTGCCGCTCTTATGATGAGCTTGAAAAATCTTGCCGCACAAAGCACACCTAGCCCGTTTGAGGTGGTTGGTGCCGCTCTTATGATGAGCTTGAAAAATCTTGCCGCACAAAGCACACCTAGCCTTCTGGGTGAGGATCCTACCGTGTTCATCCTTGGTGACGTCGATCTTCTCGTAAAAATTCCACACATCGGATCTTGGCCGTTTAGGAGCTCTTGGTGCAGATTCGTCGTCACCGGATTCGGGATTAACTTCGGTAGGAGGACTTATAGTAGGAGGACTCATAGTAGGAGGACTCATTTCAGGATCAGGAGAAATGTTTTGCTCTTCATAATCAGATTCGGAAGCCATTTGATGAAAGGATTAAATGTATAAATAAGAGAGTATAAGAGTATAAGAGAGAGTATAAGAGTATAAGAGAGAAGAGATGAGTTTTTGGTGTGAAGAAAACAAATGAAAACCCCCCTCTATTTATAGAACCAGCCCCCTAGGCAAATGACCAAAATAACCTCATAAAATAGCCGTTTTTTGACCGTTTTTGAGGGCAAAACGGTCAAAGGGCCAATCTGACCGTTGTTACCGGGCCGGCCCGGCCCGGCCACAACGGTCACNCGGGCGCCGGGCCGGTAAAATGGACAGCCCTAGAGAAGGGTAAATACTAAACCCCAAAGAGCTTTCAGTGTTTTTTTAGTAAACGCCTGATAACTTTCAAATTTTCACTTACACCCATGACTTTTACAAAAATCCTCGATCTCTTTTGAGTAAATTACATTGAACGTCCTCTAAATTTCAAAATGTCTATTTATGTTGATTTTTCTTTTTTAGTTTATAGCTTTTATATGCAAAACATAGAAACTACTGGGGTTTATTGCAAAACACAGAAGTCAGTGGAATTTAATATGATTTTGAAGGTTTTTTTTTTAAGAACACAACGAAATCTCTAGAGTGTGATTTTGAAAGTTATTGAGGATTTACTGCAAAATGCTGAACTTCTTGGAAGATTTAGTGCAGTTGACTTTTTAAGAATATAGTTCAACTTTTCTTGTATACATTTTTCTATATAAGCTCACATTTCTAATTGTTTTTCAAAGCAGATTTATCCAGCTGAAATAGGTAAAGAAAATAAAGTTCATCTCACTCTACGATATAAATACATTTTTTAAACGTTTCAGACAAATGTACTGCTTACTTGATAAATCGAAAAAACCAAACCGAACCGACTTGCAACAATTCGGTTCGGTTTTGAATTATGAGCATCAACAAAGTAGGAGATTATGAGCATGGTTCGGTCCAAACCGACTGAACCGACCCGAACCGATCCGAAAAAATCGGTTTTATGAGTAGGGCGGTTCGGGTCGGTTTGAAAACTTTTCAACCCGAACCGACCCAAACCGACCGAATATAGTGCAATACTACCCATTCTGATCTCAAACCCTACCCGACCTGTCTCCAAAGAGTCAAAGACTCAAACCCTAAACTCATTTTCTGAATCATTATGGGTTGAAAACAATATCACTATATTAATGTTTAATGCTTCATAATCTCCTACTTTGTTGATATTTTTTTAACACAATTTGTTGTTTGATAAGAAGTTTGATGAAGTTAGAACCGAACAAACCGAACCGAACCGCACCGTACCAACTTGCAACAGTTCGGTTCGGTTTTGAATTATAGGCGGTTCGGTTCTGTTGTTCAAATTTTGGTAAAAACTGAACCGAACCGACCGTTGCACACCCCTACTCATAACCAATATCCAACCCAAGAATTTTCTAGAGATCTGCACAAACAATGAAAATCATTTCGTGCTAAAATTGTTTTAGTTCATATTGTTCTTGGATTTTTAGATATTAGCCCTTAAATCATCGGTATTTTGTATCGGTGCCCTAAGTCTTCATTTTGTGATATTAGTTCCCCAAATTATCTTAAAATGCTCATGTTGGTCCCTTTAAATAGTTGATGTTAAAATGTATGGAAGAATATTTTTCTTTAAACTTTTTCTTGATTAGACGTGTATACCCCTATCCTCTCTCCCCTCTAACCTCCTTCCCCTTCCTCTTTGCTCTTGACCGCCACCTCTATCCCCTTTTCACCCTTTCCCTCATTCATGGGGCTCGCTTCAATGTAATAGTGATGACATTACCAGCAGAGGTGGTGATCATGATGGTAATAATGCGTGTGAGAATACTGACAGAGAAGGTGATGATGGTGGAGGAGGCATTGAGAATACAAAGAGAGATTGTGGTAACTACATAGCGGAGATGATGGTGACGACGATGGAGGAGGATGTGAGAATACTTGCAAAGGAGGGCAATGGTGGAGGGGTTAAAGATGATGAAGGAGGTGAGAGAGGGATGGAGAGGTAATAAAGTAATTTACCATGCATGGTTAGTATTAACTTAACCATAATTTAGGGTTTTGAACGGATAACCTAACGGACTGATACCAACAAATTAAAATAATTTGGAGGACTAATATCAAAGAATAAAAGTTTGGTAGACTAATATCAAAGTACTTATAACCCAAGGGGCTAATATCCAAAAACCCATTATCCTTTGAGCAACAATTTTCGTACATGTTCCATTTGGTTGCTTATTAGGACCCGAAATTACAGGAGCATTGATGGAGCATGTGATGCGGTTTAGCCATTATGACGGAGACACCAAGGAAATGAATGGATGGCTCAGGGTCCCTCTCATTGACCGCCTTCACAACTTTCATTACTCACCGAAGCTTTTGACCCAGCTGTAGTTAATTAGCTGTAAACTTTGCAAAACACTCCACAACAAAAGGAATATGTCAATCTAAAATCTTCTTCATACCGAGATCTAATGAGTGGGCGGTTTTGAGCCGGGTGGACAAAATCTCAAATTTGTATTGGAAAATAGTCTTTGTATTTCAGCCCAGGAAACAATAGAATAGTCTGAATCAAAGCCAGAGCCGAAACAAGGTGTAAATGACGAGAGGTGATGGTACACCGGCTAGTCGGACAGGGCTGGAGTCGCTTCTATAGCTTACCGGCCAGTCGAACCGATCGGTTTAATATGTTCTGATTGATCTTGATTATTTTGAAATTATGTTCAGGTTAGGACTCCTATGTAAATAGACTCTTTTAGGTCTAGAGTTTGAGAAGATGAGAGCCAAGGAGAGCTGCATAATGCGAAAGGGAGATAGAGTAACTAAGGAGAGAAATCTACGTTGTTGAGAAATCTTTGGTGAGATCAAGAGAGAGTTTCTTATGGGTAAATCACAAGAAAGATTGTATTTTGTAATTTCTGACATCAAGAAGACTTTAATCTCTACCCATGATTGTAGGCGATTTTCCAACCACGCAAATCTCGCGTCCTTGTTCTCGTGTTTTTTTTCTATAGCGAACAAGTTATTTTCTTGCAAGAGTTTCCACATTGCCAGGTGATCAGTTGGTCTACAAGAAAGGGGGTCATCAAAATCTCAATCTTATGTTGGGAAAGAGCCTTGCATTTGAGTTCAGAAGACAATAGAATAGTCAAAATCTAAGCAGAAAACGAGGTGAAAATGGTAAGCGGCGGCGATAGACCGACAGGCCGGACCGTCTCGGAGTCCCTACCAGCTTATAGGCCGGTCGGACAGATAGGTTTGATCCGTTCGGGCTGATCCTGATTTTTTTGGGTTTCTATTAGGATTTGAACTTCTACGTGGGTTTGTATCAAGATTTGGGGCCTACAAAAAAACTCTTCCAGGTCTAGAGTTTGAGAAGATGAGAGCCAAGGAGGGCTACATAACGCGAAAGAGAGATAGAGAGTGACTAAGGAGAGAAATCTGTGATTTTGAGAAATATTTGGTGAGATTGAGAGAGTTTCTTGCGGGTTATATCAAGAACACCATGATAACCTTATCTCGTAACATCTGATATCAATATGACTTAAATTTCTACCCGCGAACGTAGGCGATTGTCGAGCAATGTAAATCTTGTGTCTTTGCTCTTGTGTTTTCTTTTCAATAGACTATTGCTTTCTCTTTTGTGCGAACAAGTTATATTCCTGGAGTTTTCAAATTGCCGGGAGAACAATCGGTCTACAAATAAGGAGAACATCTAACGGGATATTCGGTGACACTTCCTCATGCAATGCTTCCATATAGAACACCAGATGGTGGCCAACAATTACAGTAGAGCTTGCCAACATTTTTCCCCATAAGCCCCTTCTATTCTTAGCAGAGGGATCAGAACCACCCACTTGTTGGGGATGCACAACCCCCCTGATGCGATTTGAAAATAGAGATTTAGGAGAGAAGAGAGAATTCAATCAATCACAAACACACAAGATTTATGTGGTTCACTTCTCAATGTGAGAAACTACGTCCACGGCCACCGCAGGAGAAAATTTTACTATTTTCGTCTTTTTTACATCATGCCATAATCAACCCTTTTATAGACATAAGAGTTTAACAAACAGAAAAGGAAACAGGTCAAAAAACCGCTACTGGGCCAAAACCCGACTCGCGGTCGACCGCGACCCAGTCAAAATGCATTCTTCGTCGTTTTTCTTGAGCTTCGTCGTCGTCAATCCTGTTCCTCATGTTCTGCCTTGTTCCTCTTCATTCTGAAGTATAGGGTAGGTCTGATAGTTAGGCTTCACCTATCCTAACACCACTCACATGTCGGGTATTCTGACAGAAACCGAACTCATGGCATTACATTGCGGCGGTCGACCGCCGCGCCATGCGCGGTCGCCCGCGACCCAGTCAAAATGCATTCTTCGTCGTTTTTCTTGAGCTTCGTCGTCGTCAATCCTGTTCCTCATGTTCTGCCTTGTTCCTCTTCATTCTGAAGTATAGGGTAGGTCTGATAGTTAGGCTTCACATATCCTAACACCACTCACATGTCGGGTATTCTGACAGAAACCGAACTCATGGCATTACATTGCTCTTCAGTCAACCCCACATCAAATAAATAAATGGTCGGTCTCCATTGACAATTCGCTAGTATAAACATCATAGTAGTACTCGCAGACCAATTTGGGGGTGATTCGGGTGCTCATCCGCTGCTAACTTTACCAACTGCACAGTCGTTTCAGACGAACCATTGAGCTTAATTTCCTTGAGACGGCCGGGTCAAGTTTTTAATGCCTGAAATTCTAAAGTTTGCTGATCGTTCGTCTTCGACAGAAAGCCATTCAAGACTGGGCATTGCCTCCTCTTCGAAATTCAGAGACCACAATCTTAATTTTCTCAGAACGAGCACCTTTAAACTCGGGAATCCTTGAGAAGCAAAGGACAGAACGTCGTCCTGGCTAGCTAAGTGGCGAAGGTTAAGCTGGAGCAGGTTCGGCAATGTTCCAAGTGCTTTTAAAGAATCATTGTCTAGATTGCTGCGTTCGAGAGATAGCTTCTGCAAGTTACTGAGTAAACCTATCCAGTTTGGCATTTTTCCAAGCTCGCCATGGAGCCCGAGGCTTTCAAGTAGGAGAGGTGGCGAAGAAAGAGAATCGAGAAGAAACAGAAAGCACGAAGAATTAGCCGTTTGTGGATGTAGGCCGGTGCTATCCAGTTTCAATGCTAGCTTCTTCAGTTTCGCCAGCTTATCTAGCTCCTTCATTACCCCTCTTCGACCTACATCCACAATTGTCAGTTCTTGAAGGCTTCTCAGGTTCCCAGTCCCTTCTGGTACTTTTATACCACCACCACGAAGAAAGCGAAGATGTAGAAGCTTAGTGATCCCTCTCGGTATTTTCCATACATCTGTGCCTACAATATCCAATGTTTCCAGACATCGAAGATTCCCCAAGGACTTTGGGAGCTCACGCAACTCGGTATTCCTTAGGCTCAAGTACTTCAAATGGAGCAATTCCACAGTAATCACCTTGCTGAGCACATAAGCCAAATTGGAAGCTCTGCACCCCTCCAAATCCAACACCCTCAACCGTCTCATTGAGCTAGAAATGAAGACGTCATGCCTACCTACAAACAGGGTGTACGATCTGACACAGGTTAGGCTCGACTTTATCCATTGATATTGCTTCCCGTGGATTGAGAGACGCCGAATAGCATCACATGGCATACATCTATCATCTGTTTCAATTACTGTTAAAAAATTATCCTCCATCGATTTGGATACAATCAGTTCGAGCATAACATCATGCACCCTGAAATCTCTTATCTTTCCATCAGCGCTGAATGTTGATGGAAGAATCATGTACCGATTGGCGAGTTCATTGAAGTAAGACTCTGAAACCTCCTCGTCAGTCATGTCATGTCGGTCACTAATGAGCCCTTCTGCTATCCATAGCCCTTGGACACGTTTACGCTTGATCAGACAGTCTTCAGGAAATTTACCCAGATACAAGAAGCAACGTTTGACATTATAAGGCAGATCATTGTAGCTTAGAGTCAGTATTTTTTTCATACCCTCTAGATCTGGATTGGTTTGAAGCTCTGAACCGAGACGTTCTATCATGTTCCTTCATTCCCGTTGGTCCTTCTTTGGCTTGCTTGATAAAACACCAGCTATGGCTACGATGGCTAGTGGCAAACCATCACATTTCTTAAGGATATCTCGAGACAAGCTCCCAAGCTCGTCCGGACAAGCGCGGCCAGGAAATACCCTTCTACAGAACAAGTCAAAGGACTTTTCATCGGATAGCTTTTCGGGCTGATAGATGTGCCCGGGAATAATAGCGCGACATGATTCGGCAACCTTGTTGATTCTTGTTGTTATCATGACCCTACTTCCTAGTTCATTCTTAGGAAGTGAAAGTTCTAAGCTATTCCATGCACCCGGTGTCCACAAATCGTCAAAAACAATCACGTACCTCTTATCCTCGAGATGCTTTCTGAGTTTCTCAATGAGTTTCGCCATGTTCATCTTGCGCAGACCAACAAGAGGAGTAGGCAAGATTTGACATATCATGTCTTTAAGAAGCTCATCGATGGAGTGCTGTTGTGAAACGGTGATCCAAGCTCGGCATTGGAAGAACCCTCCGGTAACATTCGGGCTCTCATAGGCTTTCCTCACGATAGTGGTCTTGCCTAATCCACCACCACCAACAACGGCGACTAAGCTCAGTCGACGGTCATCCTCATTCAATAGCCACCCAAGGAGTTTCTTCTTAGGTTCCTCAATGCCCACAAGT